CTTCTTTCAAAAAATGGGGTAAGCACATTTTTTTTTCCTGAATTAATTTTCAAACCTAATGACAAAAGTGTAAATGAAAGGTGTCCACCTTTACAAAACCTTGTATTTCTCTTTCTAGGAAGAGTGTTCACTGGGTGCTGTTTAGTTTTGAATTGTTGGGGATCCTGATGTTGAATTCTGTGACTTTAGCAGTGATAGCTAACTATGTGACACACTGTGAAATGGTTCTATTTTATATACGAGGACTAGCGCTGAGATTGCACGAAAAATCTACCGAGTTGAAGGCAGCAATGAAGGTTAGACTATGTCAGTCTTGATTTCTCTCCAAAGTTTGCCTTCATTAACTATTGACATGACAAACATTTATTACGATTGTCTGAAATAACGGATTTAACAAGTATCATTAAAATACATTTTGAGAGATTTTTTTTCACAGGAAGTATATCTGAAGTATGAATTTTTGTAATGCATGCTTCAATATAATTGTTTGTTTTTATTAACAGGACATTCTTTTCATCAAACAAAATGTTGGTTTACTAAATGGTCCTGTTGCAAGAATGACGGCTCTAATATCAGTCATTTTTGCAGAGTTGACAATCATAGGTAAATTGAACTCAGATATATTTACTCAAAGTGGTGTAGTCATAATTTAATTGAATATTTATTATAGATCATTTAAAAAAAATCAATACCTACAAGACCGACTGAAAATCCTAAAATTGTTAAAGTTGGCTAAAGAGATACAGAATTACTCATATAATTACAATATTTCAGGGGTCTGTATTCTTGTGTTGAACAAAAATGATTCCATAAAAGTCTGGGTCTACAGGAGTTGTTTCCCTTTGGTGTGGCTTTTCATTCTTATTGGTCCATTGTATCAGGTAATAAATAAAAAAAATAATGAATAATTTATAATAATACACATGATTTATATTTATAAAATATATTGTTGAATTATTATAATTACATTTGCAAATTATTTTAGATGTTTGCTTTTTGTTAAAAATACAGGCAGCTCGGGTAAATTCAGTGTCCATGAGAATGAAGAAGATAGCTTTAGAGATGAGAGTGTTTGGATACAAGAATTCCTCACAGTTAGAGCTGGATTCTTTCATTTTATTTGTCAGCCAAGCAAGGATGAAGGTAAAGAAAACAGTGTGATAGATCTGAATTCTCATGCAGCCATCTCTGTTTCAAGTGATTTTGATTCCCCTTTTCTCCTCACAAACCCTTGACCTATCATGCTATCAAAAGTCAGGTTTGTTTTTGTCACATGGTTTCATATACAGTGGACCCTCAAATATCTGGACGCCAGATATCCGGATGCTTCAGTATACGGACGACTGTTCGTCAGAATGGAATTTGTAAATGTAATTTTGACTTGTTTAACTGGTGATTCAGGTATCCGGATGCTTCACATATCCGGACAATTTGACTGGGAACCACAAAGCTAAGGATCCGGATAAATGAGGGTCCACTGTACATACAACTGACAAAGCTAATGTTATAAAAATTAAAAACAAGCAGATATTGAGCATATTTACCTGTATTTTTTGAATCCGAAGACAATAGAGTTTAGCTGGAGAACGTAGCCTACCAAAAAAAAAATATACCGGTATATATACAATGTATGGACAGACTAGAGAGCTACAGTGCCACCCAATGAAAAATGTGTGTATTAAAGAGAAAATCCTGACTTTTAATAGCATGAAAGACTAGGGCCTTTAATATGAGGAGAGTAGCAATCAGTAAGCACAAAGCTAGTGAAAATATCATAAAGTGAACTTTTTAACATATTTTTTTTGGTTTTCCAAATGAAAATGGAATTAAATATGACTTTTTTTTTTACAGGCGAAGCTTTTCCATATACCCATTCTTCCACAGTATCTTATAGCTATTCTGGTATTAGGGGCTTTTATTCTACTTATCCTATTCCAAACCAGTGTGATCGGCCCTGTCAACTACTGGTTCTAATTAATGACCTAGTCAAAACAAACTAATCTTGTCAACTCTGGTCCAAATCAACAACCTAGTGTGACTCTTTAAACTGGTCCTGTCATCAACCTAGTCAAACAAACTGATCCTGTCAACTACTGATTCTAATCAACAGCCTAGTAAAACAAACTGATCCTGTCAACTACTGGTTCTAATCAGTGACTCTTTATACAAACTGATCCTATCAACTACTGGTAAAACAAACTGATCCTATCAACTACTGGTAAAACAAACTTATCCTGTCACCTACTGGCTCTAATCAACAACATAGTCATACAGACTAATCTTGTCTTTGTTCTACTTGGCGATTAGCTGATCCAGATTTACAAACTGGTTCAGGTAGCTACTGGTTCTGATGTCAACAACTGGTTCTAACCAATAACCCAGGTAGACATGTGGTGCCCTCTATAGCTGGTTCTTATCAACAACCCTTGCAGTAGCATAAATTGATCCTGTCAACTACTGATTCTGATAAACAACCCAGTTATACAAATATGACCATGTAAGAATTGTTGGTTTACTACTGGTCTTATCTTCAATACAAATATAGACCAACTCTTGTCCTGGTTCTGACCAATGACTCTTGCAATTATACAAATATGACTGCCATTATATTTATACATTTAAATAAATAGAGCCAACAGGCTTATAAAATATATACTTACTTACCCGTTAGAGTGTAAAATTTATTAATAAGTTATCAAATCCATGCACACCAAATAAAGTTTATAAAAAATCATACTGTAATTTTTTTTTTTTAAGGAAAAAATACGTTGACATTTCATGTACGCTAGAAGCATTTTTTACTGTATTGTTATATTAAAAAAATATATATTGCATTATGCTAAAAGCATCTATGGTCGTAGCATTTTGTACTGTATTGTAAAAGAACAGGTACTTGAATGCATGTAAGATATTATAGATACTAGAGTGAGTTTAACAAAAGTACAATGTATTATTTGATGAGGAGTAATTGTTATTCTTTGTAAGTCAAGTATTCCAGCTTAAAAGTCTTCCTCTTAATACTTTCTTTAACATTCCATTTATTGTTGATTTATTTTATATTGTTATGATATTGTACATTAGCCATTATCTTTTGAAAGGAAGGAAAAAAATGATCGTTTATCTGAGTAAATTCCTCATTGTTGTTTGTTTATACGAGCTTTATTTGAGAACACAGTTTGCCAAAGATTGTTCTGTGATATAATATTAAAACATGTTATGTATTGTTCTACTCTACTCATTATTTCCATGAATGTTAGAATTGTTCTTTTGCAGGATTTAATATGTACGTTATTATTATATTATAAATTATTTTGCAATGAGATTGTCACTCACAAGGTTTGAGTTCATTAAAACTGTCTCTGCTGTTTCTATATATATCATATATACATGTTACTTACTTAGTTAAAATTGTCTTTTCCTTATATATCAAAGGTAGATATTTAATTGTTCTCCATTTGTCATACAATTTCCTACAGTTGCTTATGCATATATGTGTATATTTTCAAGGGTTACTTTGGAGGACAAGGCCCTCACAATTTGCATATTTTCTATACTAGGATTATATTGAAACAAGTAATAGAATTTTCACAATGGCAAGAAGTTGTATTATTGTATTGTTATTGTGTTGATCAAATGTTGAAGGTAAACATATCACACTTGTGCAATAATGAATGTTGTTATCTAATTAAAATAAAGTTACTTTCTTTTATGGAAAGAATGAAGAATCATGATGGAGATTAAAAGTGTTATAGAACTTTGTCACTGGATATTTTCGTTGGGATTCTATAGATTTTGCAGTAGTGCTGTAGTTAACAGCTGGTAACTGTCAATTTATGAAAACATGCCTGTGAATCAGGAGACTAGTTCCTGGATAAATTGTACTTGTGAGTACATTTCTTTATTGAATTTAAAGGACAAGATAGGTAAAGCCCGTTTTTGGCCCCTGATTTTTTTGTGTCTTTCGGATTGATGTAACAGTTTATACATAAAAACTTGTTATCATCCCTGACACAAAATAAGTATTGGTTCTAAATTTTGGAATACACAGAGGTCACAGAGAGGTCAGAAAATAGGTCAATCTTCGAATTTTCTTGTTTTTATGCAATTTTCATTGATTTTACATCATATTTCGTTTTGAAAAACAGAGCACAAGCTTGCCTATCTACCAAATTTATATATTTTATCAACTAGTATCAGATGTTTTATGTGTAAAAATCTCAGATAGGCAAGCTTGTGCTCTATGTTTTCCGAAGAGAAAAGTATCTGAAATATGATGAAATTCTACCAGAATTGAGGAAACATCTATAAAATGCCCTACTTCTGCACCCTCTTGTGGCTTCCATGTAAGCTTTGAATCTGAATTAGTGCTGATTTTAAAGCAAGCATTATTTTAAGTTCTTAATTACAAACTATTACAATTTTTTCCAGCGTTCTGATTTTTACATCAAATAAGGGGCCAGATTTGGTTGTTACCCTACCTTGCCCTTTGATGAATTTCATAGGTTCTGTCCTCACATTTTTGGTCAATATAAAGATCATTTCTTGGGGGGGGGATGCTGTTTAACTCGGGCATACCCAAGGAAACGTTTGGTTCCTTCAATAAGAAGGGTTTTTTAAGAGCATATGTTCTTATGTATCAAATCAACTGAGAGAAATAAAACCAGTATGTAGGTGATAAGGGGTGTAAAGGAAGTTGACGATTTAAAAGTTAAAATCATCACATCATAAAGCTTTGTTAGGTAACTAGAACCGCCTTTTTAGCTCACCTGAGCCGAGGCTTAAGTGAGCTTTTCTGATCACATTTTGTCCGTCCGTCTGTCTGCAAACTTTTCACATTTTCGACTTCTTCTCAAGAACCACTGGGCCAATTTTGACCAAACTTGGTACAAAGCATCCTTGGGTGAAGAGAAATTTAAATTGTTAAAATGAAGGGCCAAGTCCCTTCACAAGGGGAGATAATTAAGAAAAGACAAAAATAGGGTGGGGTCATTAAAAAATCTTCTTTTCAAGAACCACTGAGCCAGAAAAGCTGAAACTTATGTGGAAGCATCCTGGGGTAGTGTAGATTCTAAATTGTACAAATCATGACCCCCGGGGGTTGGGCGGGGCCACAATGGGGAATCAAAGTTTTACATAGAAATATATAGGAAAAATCTTTAAAAATCTTCTTCTCAAGAACCACTGTGCAAGAAAAGCTGAAACTTATTTGGAAGCAACCTTTGGAAGTGTAGAAGCTAAATTGTTCAAATCATGACCCCTGGGGGATGGGCGGGGCCACAATGGGGAATCAAAGTTTTACATAGAAATATGTAGGAAAAATCTTTAAAAATCTTCTTCTCAAGAACCACTGAGCCAGAAAAGCTGAAACTTATGTGGAAACATCCTCAGGTAGTGTAGATTCTAAATTGTTCAAATCATGACCCCCGGGGAGGGGCGGGGTCACAATGGGGAATCAAAATTTTACATCAAAATATATAGGAAAAATCTTTGAAAATCTTCTTCTTAAGAACCACTGTGCCAGAAAAGCTGAAACTTATGTGGAAGCACCCTGTGGAAGTGTAGAAGCTAAATTGTTCAAATCATGACCCCCGGGGGAGGGGCGGGGTCACAATGGGGAATCAAAATTTTACATCAAAATATATAGGAAAAATCTTTGAAATCTTCTTCTTAAGAACCACTGAGCCAGAAAAGCTAAAACTTATGTGGAAGTATCCTGGGGTAGTGTAGATTTCAAATTGTCTAAATTATGATCAGTGGGGTAGGGTGGGGTCACAATATGTATTACAAGGGGGGAATCTAGTAAAGAACAGAATGGTCAAAGCTTCGCAGGTGAGTGATGTGGCCCATGGGCCTCTTGTTCTTCAGTACAGCCAACAGACCCCCTGCCTTCTAGCCCCCCCCTCCCGTTACGAAATTTCTGGATCCGCCTCTGAATAAGAAAGGAAATAGGTGAACAAGGGGTACAGGAAGCCAACAAGTTTCAGATATATTAAAATATACATTATTCAAATTGTAAATTTAGAGTAAAATTCACATTATTAAAATCATGGTAAATAAAGCTTTTCTGAGGAAAAATTTTCTCGGTGAAAATTATTCTTTTATTATAAAATTATGTGAGATTCGAACCCTAGAAAAGAAAATCCAGAGTATCATTTTCCTTGAAGACAAGTCCTGAACAATAGTGGCATTTGAATCATGTTTTTCATATGACTCTTGACTAAATGGAGTTTATTTTTCTCGGAAAGATGCGAATATTGTGTCACAAAACTATATAATAAAAGTGTATTTTTGAGCCAAGACCTACAGCAAAGTCTACGTTTTAAGGTAATTAATGGGTCTTTGCTCCATGCTACTCAAAATGTGTATTTTTGCACATATTTCATAAGCATTTTACTCAGAATGTTCGCCCATCTTCTTTATAGTCTTTATGGTAAACATTACTTTACCTTTGCCTGAAAGATACATAATTAGTATTAGAAACCTCTTTTTTTCAATTATATTATTGTTATTTATTAAATATATATAAGTCAAAACTCTACAGAAATATATTAAAAAATGAAAAACAATATTTACACAGTAGACAAATATTTAAATGAAAATATTAATTGTCCATATCTGCTCAAGTTCAATTTATTCTCCCAAACTAAAATATTGGTACACGGGGTACAATAAAACATATATACATTTGCTGCAAAACAGTGAAAACTATAATTATACAGCAAGTAATCAGGTTTAATCTATAAAAAATAGTCTACAAAATTAAAAACCCATAATTAAACAACATAAAACTGTTGAATAATCAAAAACATTATTTAACGTACAGTTTTTTTTAAAGTACTAAGATCAGACATTTTTCTTCTTTGTTGATTTTATCCGCTATTCTGGATCAGCATCTTGCACCAAAAACCACCAAGTATAGCAAACAACAGGAATAGTCCATCTGAAAAATAAACGGCGAATTATTGTTTTGTCGTTCCCCCTATGA